CTGAAAGAAAAGAGTGAAGACGAAATCCAAATAGAAATCGAGTTTAAAGCTTGGACAAACATTAGAGGTATAGCAGAAGGTAGCGCCATCAACGATTTTATTTTTTATTTTTATATTGTTAGTTCAGAGTTTCCTACTGATGAAGATATTATCGAGTCCTGCAGATCCGAACCGGTACAGTTAAACATCAAAGATGACTACGAAAAGATATAGGAGGAATTGGAAGATGATTCTCAGCAACCACCTTCAAATGAATGGTTGAAAATTCGTTGATTATCATGCGTTCCAATTTGAAAACCAGTGAATACACAACTGATTCCCTCTATGATTGTTTAAATAAAATTGAAGCTTTTGTTGAAAACCAAAATAAAAATCCGGTCGTCAGTCACAAATAACTGACTTTTTTCCAGTGAAAGAGTAAACTTTAATATATACATACATATGTATGTATATGTGGATACATACTATGTTTATATATATTGGGTATATATTAAATACATTTGTATGTACATATATTATGTAAATACATGCATATATATGCATACTATTTCATAATTTTCGTTTTTTGTTCAAAAATCATAGATATTAGGGCATTTATGAAACGCATAACCCATTTTTAAAAAGAATGAATAAATGTTCATTCACAAAAAAGTACATGCATTTATAGTTTTTATTGATAATTCGAAGTCTTGATAACTCGAAATTTTCATGTGTCAAATCGCAGTTCGACTTATCGAAGTTCGACTGTAGTTCCTATTTAAACTTATGCAATAAACTTCTTTCTAGGCGACCAATTCTTTTGGTTAGTTTGTAGAATAAATCTGGTACCACTTTTATTCGATTTATATTATAAAACTCATTCTATTGCCAAATAGTGGGGAGAATAGATATTTAATTTTTGTTGTGAGTTTTTAGGAGTTTTGTCGTTCAGGATACACCTCCAAACACCGTGCTGAGGTAAAGACGGCGTTTCTATGTGACTGCAAGTACAACGCTAACATGTCAAATTTTCATGTTTCAACAATTTGAAAATGTACTATTAAAACTCCATTTTACCTTTACTGTGATATAATTAGAGCGAAGATCCCTGCATACAGATTCTAAGACACGTTGCATATAACTATAGGACCTGCGTATATTAATTTTTGCCTTATTCAGTGATTCCCATTTGTGCAATAAAAAATGGCAAAACTTATATTTAAAAAGTTGGAGCGAAAAGATACCATTCGTGATAAATGAATTTGTATTAAAAGTTTTACGAGTGTACGAAATATATGGATCGGATGCCATACTCGCGTAAATCAACATCCCCAGCGTTCGAAAGGAAGCGTGAAAATTATATAAATTCCACATAAATATTCCAGCTGAGAAATCTTTTTAAAACGGAATAATTTGATTTATTCACCGCGGGGCCTTGGTGAAATAACTAAATTATGAATACCGAAATGAACATAGCCGGGAATCACAAACTCCAACTCGTAAATCAGGAATGACGCTTAAGGATGTTTGCAAAAAAATACAACCAAATCGATAAAATTTCCAAACTATCTGGGCTGTAAAAAGCTACTTTAATACATATTTTTTAGTATATTATGCAACAAGGGTAATAAATGACACTTTTTTGAGTTCATTATTGCGCAAATTCCATCACTGATGACACGTTACGTGACCATCAGATGTGACAAACGTGAAAAAGCCAATGCTTAAAATATATTGCAAACATTTGATTGCTCTTGAATTCCTGAATGAAGTAATATAAGTAATATATAATATAATATAACTGACTTGCAGTAGCCATTAGCTAAGCTAAAGTCTAAAAAAGTGGGACTTTGGGTGCGCACTGAGCAGTGGATATTTTAGAATAAGCAGCAGATAAAAAAGTTTGATATTTATAGAAATTAAAAGCTTTAAAGACAACATAATATTATTAATCAGTTTCGTAATATTTTCCATCAAGAACATAACAGTTCTATAAAACCCAGATTTGAACGATCCTCCATCCTGTTGGCAAAATTTAACTACCAAATTCTAATCATTTATGGGTTTGCACAGTTTTATGTTAAAATTATCAAATATCAAATTATTAAATATAAATATCAAATAGGTATTGGGATATTTCTCTACAAATTTTCAAGATTGTTCCAAATTTTTCAAAAATTTTTTAGTAAACTTTATAATTGAGATAAAAGCTTTTAAAAGTTAAGTATATTGTGAACTGTTAACAGCGTGCATAAGAAAAACAGTGTTCAAAAAATTCCTAACCTAATAACTTATTTCCTTGTTCATAGCTAAGGGTATTTTAGACGCTTGATGACTCTTAAGGAACAAATTATTAAAAAAATCAAGTGGACTGAAATGGGTTCCTACAGTATTTCCTTATTCCTGTCATGCTTCGTGGCAGATATATTTTCGTTGTTGGTGAAATTAAAAACTTAAGTTCGCCTTTATTTGTTAAAATATTATAATTAGTGAGCACGCAGAGAGTGATGTTCTACCAAGGTTCTGAGCATTTTAAGCCACAGCTAGTAAAATTTATTTCCATTTTTCTTGTTACTTTCGAAAATCGATGAAATCGAATTTTTCGAAAGTATCTACGCTAGTATAAAATTTTTTTATCTCGGTAGCGGTAGGTCCTATGGGATCGCAGTACAGAAAATTTTTTTTTCTGTTTGTCCGTTCTCCGTTCTCATCTTTTGGTTTTCCTGAACAACTTTCGAACCGTGGAGCTACAAAATTGAAATTTGTCTCCTTTTTAACCTTCCACGAGGCACATAAGCTTATAAGAAATGACCCTAATCCGATGCCGGCATCCATCTTTTTTCGCGATTACCGACTGTTTTTTGGAACACGATAAGTGTCCGAAATTTGAAGCAATCGACTTCATATTTGGCACATATATGCAGCTTTGCTCCGGAACTTTGGGGGGGGGGGGGAGCTTGCAGAAATATATGTTTTCCTCCATAATCGTTCACCCGATCAACAAAATTCTTTAGCCAGCAGACGCAGAAGATCTAGTGCAATAACCTTTATTTTAGACATTGTTTCGGCTACATACAGGGCTTTCAAATTATAGACAAAAAACTAAACGACCTAGAAAATTGTTCGTTTTCAGAGTAAATTATTAGGCGCAAATCAAAAATCGTAAAAAATATGGCTAGTAGGAGGAGCTACCATTTGGAATTTGTGGTTTTCGTCTATCATATACGCTGCTCGGGATATTTGAAAAAATCCATATTGAAATCGCTATTTCGGGGGTTGTCAAGACGCGATGACGTCATTGATTATTACGGCGCACTACATGGTTTCAGAGAAAACTTATTTTCTCGAATACTATTTACTATTTTCTTGGACCTGGAAACGTGGAACATCCAGGGCTATAACCTCTACTTCGAACATTATTTGAATCATATACAGGGTGTGTCGTTTATGGGCAAAAAATCTAAAAAATCCTAAAAATTTTCGTTTTTTTTTGTAAATTATTGGCGATAAATCAAAAACCGTTAAAGATGGGATACGTTTATTTAAACAGCATCGAAACTGTATCGAGAGAGAGAGTTTCGGGTTTCGTCAATTATACAGGGCGCGAGATATTTGAAAAAGTATCAATCCACTATGTTATGATTTGTGCAAATTTTAATATTCACCGATGTTTGCTGTAACTTTAATTAGCATCCCAAACCTACCGACGTGATGTGAAGGACACTTTATACAGGGTTTATGCACAATAAAATTACATAGATTTTGCGAAAGTTCCATAGTGGTCGGCAGTGTTGTTGTTAGATATGATTGTGTAACATTGTAATTGGATATTTTGTTAAGTAGCTTGTCTTATCAATAACTAAATTACAACATATAAGATCGATCCATAATGAAATTTGGAATAAGTTTTATAAAAAAAAACGCTAGAATTTGTAAATGTACTACAGAGAATGAACAAAATAACAATTTTAATTTTTGGCGACAGAGATTTTCTTTAAACTTCTTAAAAGTCATTTAAAAACTAGAATCATCTCAAAGGAAGCACTAGGAAGTATACCACACAAACAACGAAACTAAGCATAAATATTTTTAAAATATATATACGATACCGAGTGTTCACAGTACAACAATTTGCGTCAAATTATCCAATTCGCGTTAGTTATTTGTTTGCCACGCTACATCTCAATTAAATCCGAGCGCGCCTAGATGCGTTGTAGTTCATTTGTTAAAGCCTAATTTACCACGCGGATGAACGAGACCCTAAAGCTGCTCCCGGAACAAACAATGGGACTAGTATTTTGTTGAGCACCTTTATAAATCATTTTACTCCATTTAGAGGATTTGTTCTGATTTCGAAGGTTAATTCTTCGTTCCCTTTACGTGTTGTCCGTATGACGTTTTGCGAATTTAAGCCGGTTATTTTTGCCGTGCTCGATGGGATGAATAAGTTTTCATCCCTTCGAAGTTACACAAGATCAAGTTTGGTTTATGAACTGATAAAAAAAAACATTCCCATTCATATAGAAGCCGTCAAAAATGAAAATGTGCAAATATGAGGTGCATTTGGAGGCGTTGACTTGACTACAAGTCCACAGGGAGATTCTTTTTGTATATTGTATTTTTTAGCTTTTGCAGTTGATATTTTTGACTGAACTTGATGTGCTCGACCGTGCTAAATATTTCTGAGAATTTATCATATTTTCTCAGACTGTCATAATTTTTGTATTTAACCTGAACAAAATAATTTTTTGAATTTGTTTATAAAGTATATTATTTTTTTAATACTCAGAAGTATTTACTTAATATTTCGCTTAAATTATTTAATGGTTATTTTCAAATATAATGGAATAAATGTGTGACTTATATTAATGTACCGAACACATTTCGCCAATTTTATCCGAAAGGAATCACGATTTTTAAACTTGCTAGGAAATTTTATTTATAATTTCATTACTACCAATAGGTTTTTTAGTTACCACTTATCGCAGCAATAGGGAAAATAAAACCACATTAGAGGAGAAACTGCGCTATAATGCAAGTAGTATTTTACATACAATCGATAAAAATCTATTAAAAAAGCAACACAAATTGCTACGCGCATTCCCCATTCTCCATTTCCGAGATTTTATTAATCACCTTCCCATATAGCACCTCGCGTATATTTTTAGCAGTCACAAAATCATTATGGCACCAGCTTCGTTCCTCGAGGATGTAATAACCGCATCGTGACCCGAGTTGTGAATACAATCTTGAACCAGACTAAAAGCAAACCATAATTGTAACATATTGACTTATTTATCGTAAGATTTCAACAAATTTAAGATTTAAGTGTTGGAGGTCAAACCGCCAATAACATTCGGAAATATAAATCGCGAAGTGATAATTTACCTTTTCAGTGGCGATAAAATCCCCCTTGCCAACAAACATAGCGATGGGAATCGGAATCTTGTGAAGAGGATAGGCGGGAGGCTGCTCCTGTGAATATATTTCCAGATTTTTCTTTTTACCATAATCAAACTGCCTAAAGTTTTTATTATTATAGTTTTGCGAATGATGGCTGATCACTTCGACTCCTACGGTGTCTTGAAACCTGTTAATAACTACCGGGATGTAGGTCTGAAACGTGAGGTCGTATTCAGTCGTATTCTAGAACTTGTTTCATATATTCGTTTAAAACTCAGGCTATTTTCACGTAATAGACATGAACCAAAATTTGTTCATATTTTTCTCAACCTTTAATCCGTAAACTATAGTTTATCTCCCACTCTAAGAAAAATCAATGCGGATTTCTTAATAACGATGGCTAACGAGGGTCCTCATAAGACGGATATACTCGACTATTCTAGATGTTGCTTGCGAAATTAACGAGAGATAAGGCCTGTACTTCACAAAAATGGCCCACGGCTTTCAATTAATATATCAATCGATATATGACCGGGCGTCGCGTTTATTATCGCATGGCAAAACCTGTATAAAATATGAAAAGACAAAAATTCTTTATACTTTTATATTGTTTATTATGTGCCATTTTTTTATTTATCCGACCCCGTATTTCATATATACTGTAATGTTAATTTTATGTCAAAAGTAACGTTTTAATATTTTCAAATCTATAACTTTTAAAATATCGAATATTGGAAAAATATGACTTGTAAGGATTTTACCATTTAAATTTGCAATATTAATTTTTGTAGTTTTTTATGTTTAAAATATCAACTCAGGCCACTATATTAGATCCACTTCTATTACAAAATCAACTCCAAATGTAAAGTGTGTCCCACTTAAAAACTGCACACCCATGTAAAATCTTTGTTCATAGTTCGATTTTTTCATGATTGTGTTCGGCATGTTCTTTGAGCCTAGTTGATATTTTTCGTCCCATCTCTCCATATATTCTTTGCCGCATATGCATGAAATGCTGTAAACTCCTGGCATCTCAAATGGAATTTTGTCTCTGACGGATCGGACGAAGATGTGGAGAGATTTTTGGACAAGTGATAAAAAAACCTCTGTTATCAACTCTCTTGCTTACAGAGACGTAAAACTATCTCAGGCCGAATTACTGAAGCCTGAATTAAACCACTTTACTTTTGCTCTTCTTTCTAACAATTTCCACATTAAAGATATTAAGCATTCCACCACAAAAAAACCTTTCACCATAACCTTCCGAAAGCAATCCTACACTTGAACTGTGCTCCTTATATTCAAAACATCACTGACCACATATCAAAAGTTCTAAAGAACTATAACGTAAAAACTAGACTTACCACTTGTCCAAAAATCTGTCCTTCGGTCCGTCAAAGACAAAATTCCGTTTGAGTTTATAGCATTCCGTGCATATGCGGCAAATAATATATTAAAGAGACCGGACGAAAAATATGAACTAGGCTCAAGGAACATGAAAGAGCCTTAAGACGATTAAGATTGTCTGGTTACTTATTGATTCCTACAGATTCTCGGATTTTTCGTTGGTTGAGGAATTGATTACGTGCAAAAAATGTAATGTAAATCTGGTTTTGATGTTGTACTTTTAACCAAAAATCTCTTAACATCTTCGATTCGTCAAAGTCAAAATTCCGTTTGAGGTACCAGGAGTTTGCATTCCATGCATATGCGGCAAGGAATACGTTGGAGAGACCGGACGACAAATATCAACTAGGCTCAAAGAATATGAAAGAGTCTTAAGATTTCGACAGTAAACTCGTCAGCAGCTCTGAAGAACAGGATGACTGGCGAAACGTTCGGCTCAGAAAAAATCGATGCAGGCGGAATCCAGAAATTTTGTAAAAGTACGGCAACGAATTCTCATTCAGGAATACTCAGAATCCAACTACACCAATTATAATGTTTCAATTCAAGGTGTTTGAAATATCGTTTGTGTCCCGCTCAAAGCTGTACAGCGTTTTAAAAATCTTTGATTACGGTTTAGTTTTGATAATTCTTTTTTGTTCGATAGATTTCACTGAAAGACATTAACGATTTCCTTAAAATTAAATATAATTAGAGAGGATTAGATATGAACTAAACAGATTTTATTTCTAATAATGAAACTAACAGAAATATCAAAATTGATTGACGCTGGTATACTGTTTGCTTTGTAAAACCAAGTTTGCAATGGAGAAGCGAATGTTTGACAGCATGACTTCAGATTGATGTAATAAGAAATATAAGGTTTTAGTGAGAGATCCGTTCAACAAAAAAAAAAATTATCAAAATCGAACCATAAAAGAAGATTTTACAAGGGTGTAAAATTCTTCAGTAGGACACACTGTATAACAAGGGCATAACGGCAGCATAAATTTCCAGGTACGTTTTTGAAAACAACTACAACTTGCCCACGAAAATACAAACATCCTCTATACATAAAAATATAATATTTTGAAAGCATAAGTGAATCCAAGCAACTTTCGTCTTTAAGTTACTTCTTACTTAGAGGTTGGTTGGTTGTACTCAATATTTTTTTATTTCATATCTTATTCTTTATTAGATAATTTACTACGTAATATGCAAAAATATTTAAATATTTAATTCTGAATTAACTTCTGGTAGACAAATAAATAAATGAGTATCTGAAAGTCACGAGCTTCAAAACGTATTCCTTTAAACACTGTTAAACAGAATCTTAGTAGTTCCTCGCAATCAGTTTGCCCTTAACATATTTAAACGTCAACTGATTTTTCTTCAATTTATAGAATAAAAACTATAGCTACAACGAAACAATTTACTTACCGGGTCTAACGCGGTAAAGTGAAATCCAAATACGAAATTTACCAAAAATATAGCGGCGTAATTTCCTACGGCTGTCAAAGACAAAAACTTGTATATCAATTTATTAACGAGGGTTAGTTTGGTGAATTCTCCGTTGAAGAATAAGTAAGTCAACGCCTGAAATTCTCCAGAGAATAAAACGGAATCCCTATTAGAAAATTATTTTCTACCCTAGCAAGCGGCCAAACTGATCGGTTGGCTACTATAGAGAAAACACCCTTAATTCCAATTAAGTAACCTACGGGTGCGAACGAAAGCATCCCTAACATTGTTTTGTCGCAGTGTTCTGGCGTCATGGAGCAATAAACATATCCACTAGTTGTCCCCATTGAATAACCTAGATAAATTGCTTTCTTGTCTGTGACGTTTCTGACCAATTCCATGGTTGCCTTTAAGTCGTGTATTCCAATGTCATGAAAACTATAGTTTTAAATTAGACTACAGAACCATATTATTTTGCTTACGTAAATTTCCAGTACTCGTGACTTCTGTACGTCAAGGATACATGTTCCTTGCTATATCTGGTTCCTCGGAAATTTACCATCCAAACGTCGTAACCCAAATATCCCAACACATATGCTAGAAGCCATAACTTTTTCATCTGCACATAGTGTATCCAAATAGAGGCAACAACACGCTCTCGACAAAAAATATTTTGAAAGTGTTTTCTGGGATTAAATTATATAATAACATATATATGCAATTGCGTCACCATTTGTTGTAATTTTTTTCCTTGTTACCTTTTTCAGGAGAATAAATCTGGTCACTAATAAATATACTATGTTTTTATAAACGTCAGTAACTTCGAAAAAAGGACTAAAGTAATTTTTGTTCAGAGAGTTAAAATTAATTTTTATCTGAGACGCACTTTGTTATCACTACCAGTAGACCAATTATACAAATAGAAAATACGTAAATGCAAGTCGATTGTTGAAGCCATTGCACTTCGTTTGAAAGGTTTCCAGGCCTTATTATGCAGATCGTCGAGGACAAAGTTGATTTTTTTTCGCATTAAGAAAAACAAAATTATGACATAAAAGAAGAAAATTGGAATTGGCATTTGGCCTCAAAAGTATGTGTCAAACTTACCCAAAGAGTTGTTACCCGAAAATAGCCAACATATTGAATTCGTGAACGCACCGTGTCCTAGTACAATGGGATGTTTTCTGTTACGCTCTTTATAAACTCGAATTACGGTAATAATGTAACCATCTTCTAACGTTAAAGTGTAATTTTCAGTGTGAAATCCCCACGTTCGCGCGATTGCAGACTAAAAAGTGTACCCAAAAAGGAAGGAATCGAATATATAATGATTTGGGCATCTACTAAATTACTAACTTTTAAGTATCAAAAACAAATAAGTTATATCAACTTTTCTATATCTTACTGAATCTAAGACGTCATAGTCATTCCGCCAACAATTTTTGCTCCAAGGGACAGCAAAGTCTTTATACGATTTGCACACTCGTATCGATCCATTTGCTTCTGGTATGTAGTATGCGAATAGAAGAAAGCTTAGACATTCTAACTTCACCATATTTACACTTCAATTTGCTGATTGCGATTATTGCATGACGTAAAATATAACTATCGTTACAAGAAAATGCAAACTATCTTATGCTTTTAACAAATTATAGCTCTAAAATAATTATTAACTATATAATTACGTTATCTAAAGTATGTAAAGTGTGTCCCATTTTGGTAGCAATTACAAAGGTATCTCGGTTATTTGTTATAATATTAATATTATGTATTAAGTTGCCCCTTGTATCTCAGCTGCCTAGCAACTAATGAAATATTTTTACGTAGAGACAGTTGCATATTCAGTTTTTTGTAAATGTAGGAGTTTTTGAAATATTGATCAACGTTCCTTTTTTTTCAATGCAACACCTTATATATTTTTCAAATAATTCACCTTTACAAGCTTGTCAAAAAGTTGTTAGTTATTAGTTATGTTAGTTGGTGGTTATCATAGAATTATACCCATATGTAATGACGTAATGCTGGTTGCCTATTATTCGCTGATTATTAAACATTGAAGATTGAAACACCAATGTTTTTCGACTAGCACTGATCGATATTTCACATATCTTAATATAAAGATATGTAAACCATCGGGACATGTATTATTTTCAATGAGTCACCGCTGTTGGTAATATATTAAAAAACAATACACAAAAACTACGTCATTACAAATGATTATAATTCCGACTATAATAGTCTTATTTGCGTAAATATTGTGATTGATTTTTAGTTAGTATTTTTGAATTTATTTTTTGTGTTATTTATGTTTTGTGTTGTGTTATGAAAATGTTGTTCTAGGATATCTCTTTAACCATTTGCTTGTTTTCGATATTGCCATCAAGAACCAATTATATCTAAATTAACAGAATTTGACAAATCTTGTTCAAAAACATATAATTAAGAAAATCGAAAGGCTGAGGAAGTCACAATTTTGGCTAATGCGGTATTGGCTTGCCGTATTAAATACTGCAATATCATGAAAATGAGTTTCGAAAAACTAAAAATCAAAGAATTGTGAAAAAGTATACGAACACCATTGTAAGCTTGGCCAGCCTTAACGCTACGGAGATAACAAACATCTACCAGTTAGCTTCACAATGTTGACAAGATGTTGACAAGAAAGTTAGCTGACCCAGGAAGAAATATCTGTGTCCTACCTGTATATTAGGGACACAGATATTTTTTTTATAATCGATGAAAATTTAACAGTAAACTTCTATATAGAAAATTTTAGACACTGCTCTAACCGATCGGCTTAATGATGTTTACAAAATTATCTTGTTAGTTAAATTACTTTAAATATAAAATATTGTTAATAGCATTAGTTTCAAAGGATACTGTTTCGCATGGTCTATTGAAAATTGAGAATTGATTAACATCAATATCATCGAAAAAAATCAAACGTTTGTAAATCCTGCCGAAATAGATAAAAAATTGACCACTTCAAAAGTTTTACTGGAATTCGATTTCATGTATTTTATTAAATTAACAAGGAGCTGAAATTGAAGAGTTACCTAAAAATGTAATATATCTTTATGACGATTTTGTTTTTGCCATCTTTGGTCCCACAAAAAATATCTCAGGTTCGCAAAAACCCGAAGGTTTTTCTTTGCTATTAACCGAGATATCCAATTGCAACAAAAGAAAACCTACAGGGTGTCCTAAACGTTGCACGCCACATAAAAATCAACGTCGTGATGCAGAAATACACGCCCGACCACAATAAATAACAGTATTGACAAAAAATAGGACGAAACTTATTAAATTATTAATATTCAGGCAAATATTTGCCGATGTAGGGAAGAGAGGTTGTAAAATATGCAAACAAGCCGCGGGCGTGTTTTACAACTGAAATGACATTATTAGAGCACACGGCAGATAAATGCAAATTTATGCAGATGTTCGTGTAGATGAAGTAAACGCTGAATATGTTTTAGTTACACGTATAAATGATTCTCTCTCCGAACTAGCAACTGCATGTTGTGTGAAATTCAAAAACTTTGTTGACCTGTTTCGTTTTGTACGCGTTAGTAACGATGGTAGTTACGCGGCAACGTATATATAAAGTAAATGCTTGCGGAAGTTTTCTACACATATTTTAATATTTCAGTCAGATAAAGCAAACATGAAAGTTAAATACGAAAGCACAATTATAAATTTAGTATCTCACCACAACTAATACGTGCTTATGGAGGTTGAACTTATAGAAGCATTACTCGTCAATAGCATTTAAATTCTTGGAAATATAAAGGAAAACTCAACATTCAAGTTCTAAATAAGGAAACTGAAATTTTAAGAAGTGCACCATGTTTAATAATTATTTACACGCAGGACGTTAGAAAAATAGTAGGTGACTCCTATCCTTTACCCTAAATAGTACGACTTTCCTTATGTTTTTTGTTTTCAATTTAACTTTTTCAATTGATTTTTCAAGCGTTAGTTGCACGTAGTATTTTTTCAACTAACTAACTAAACCAATTCAATTCAATTCATCGATTAACTGTCAAACGAATCGTAGGTCAGATGATTAAAAATATATAATAAAGGAAGCTTGAAATCAATGTTCTATAAGAAACAAATAAAAAATATAAAATTCAATACCCTAAATACAAAAAAATAACTTCAAGTCCATAGACGTTCGTCAGAAAAAATGCTAGTTCACTTCCCATTTTTTTCATTACTTCATTGAGTTTTTTGCTAAAAATCGTACAGCAGCATGTTTAAATGTGCTCCAAATTCGAAAAAGTAATCTCAAAATGGACCAGGTAGGTAATATGAGTGTAATATGGAACAAATTTCAAAAAGTTATCTTAATATATGAAGCTAACGTGACGCCCTGTATATTCAAAACAAAGTGTTCTAATGAAAAATGATAAAACGAAATATTTTAATCAAAAGAATGTACGGTAAATTTATTTTGTCCATCTTAATTAAAATTTTATTACAAATGAAACACATTACTTTTATTTTTATGTATATATAAGAAAGTGCCTTCAACTCCTAGTGAAATCAAACAATAAGTACAATTTACTATTTGAATCAGTGGTCGTCAAAAATTAGCCGTAACAACTTGCAATATATTTTGTGCAGAAATACCCTTCTTTTCTTTGACGTATTTGCCCTCACAATCCAAATCCCAAATGAAATGACAACGCATTTGATTTTTTAATAAAAGTAAGCACATTTTATTTTCATTTGTCATTTGAGTATTCCTTTGATAACAAAAATTCAAAAATTATATTTCAAGATTCTTCCAGTTCACTCTATAAAAAATGAAATTAGTGAGTGAATTCAGTATTTTGTCGGTATACTGCTTCCATGAAAAAACTCCCTGAGGCACTATGCGCAATGTGAGTAGATAGGGTAAAATCTAAAAAAACCACTAAGCCAAAAAATTAAAGAAAAGGATCTTAAAAAGTCAAGTTTAACTTAACGGTTTCCAGAGCATACAAAAAGAACGTGAGTCAACCCACACGCTAAAGTTGGCTTTATTTGAAATTGACAAAGTTTGGAAGTAAAACTTTTCTCTTGCAAGCATCAGTCTAGATCTACTTAAATCTTCATTTTATTTAAATAGTTCGTAGAGCTAAAAGTTGAACAAACGATTGCATTATCCAGTTAGTGAAATTATAAAGCACAAGCAAGTTTAATCGGTTTTGCGAAATCGACGTTTCGCAGCATTAACATTTATGTTGAAGCGTAAGGCGCTGGTTTTACTGCGAATCCGGACGTAATCCCTAATCTGTCAAACCAAATAAAAACCCCATTTTTCTTTTGTCTTTCCCTGCGGGCCGAGCATGGTAGAGATTAGAATTTTTCCGAGGGACAATATTGAACACGTTTCCCTCGATGAATCGATTCCAAGTGAGTTTAAAAAAGCGTTTTTAAGAATGTTTTCATAAAAAATCATGCCATGGAATTTTTATTTACTTTCTTCGCTCGCATATGTAGCTTGTAATTACACGTGACGAATAAAGTAACTAAATTGCATCTAAATTATGATTATCTATGTATCCTCACTTATATTTGTTTCGCCATAATTTGTTTAAACATGTCTGTTGCTAAGTACAAACTCAATCACATAGTTCTGCCTATGACGCATATGTTGCGTCACGGCCTTCCAGCACCACCAAATTTTAGGTAGTCAGCACTAACTAACCAAAACTAACCAATATAATATAGTTGTCTATGGTAGTCAGTATTTTGCCAGGTTTCGACAGGAGCTGTTGCTTTTTTTTGTACAGTTTTGGCGCATCTGAGCACGTGAGCATTGTGGGTTTTGGGAATTTCTTCAAAGAAGTAGTGTCATGGATAGGGCGCAAAAAAGACGTTTTGAGCGGGATAGAAAGAGACCTTTAACGGATGATAAACTACTGACCTTGAGTAATGCTTCAGAAAGTGATGAGGAACCGTTTATAGATAGTGGATAGCAGCCGCCTTTTCCTGGTCCATTGCCAAATAGTAATAACTTGTCGAGTATTGGATGGACTGACGGGATAAACTTGAAACAATTTCCATTCTCAGGTAATCCTGGATTACGAGTGAATGGATTTTTTAAATTATTAATCACAGATGAGTTGTTAATACATATTGCTGAAGAGACGAATCGATATACAGAACAAGTTTTTCTTAGCGAGAAAACTAATGAGCAATCTCGAATTACGACTTGGGAACCACTTACACTTTCCGAAATCAAAGTGTTTTTGGATTTAAGGCTTCATATGGGTCGCATTCAAACAAAGAGAACTCGGGATTATTGGAAGACAGAAGAGCTTTACAACTTGGCTTTTTTTTCGCAACATATGAGTTGAAACCGATTTCTACTCATAATGCGTCGCTTGCATTTTTCAAAAGACCCAAAGAGAGGAGAACCTGGGTTCGGAGATCGATTGCATAAAATAAGATTCATTCAAGATTATATAAATAGTAAAATGGATGAAATTTATTATCCCAAAAAAATCTGTCCCTTGATAAGTTCATGGTTTTATGGCGAAGACGATTACTTTTTCTTATATTCATTAACAATAAGAAGCATAAGTTTGGTGTAAAATTGTATATCTTTTGCGAACCCTCCAGTTTAGTTTTAAAAGTAAGAATTTACACTGGTACAGAAGATGATATGTCCGGCAAAGGTCATGTTACGAATGTTGTTTTAGCATTCATTCAAAAGTATGTAGGCATTGGACATAGTGTATTATGGATAATTTTTATAATAGTTTTTCTCTGGCCAAAGAGCTTCTCCTAAGAAACACCAAGACCAAATGCTTTCTTATTATTCCTCTGAAAAAAAAAAAACTCTAAGATGGTGTTTGTGCACTTTTTGTTCATTGCAACATTATTTTCTAATATTTAATCAATGTTCTTCCAAGGAAAATCTTGATTACTACAGTTTTCGGCATACTCTTATAAAAGAAAACATAACAAACAAACAAGCCCAGCTACGTTAAATATAGCCACTGAACATCGTTTCTTGAAGTTCAATAGAGCATTGTCGTTATAAAGGAAAGCAAATATAGTTTCTGTATGATTGGCAGTGACACATGTGTTGCGCCAACGGCTTTCCAAGGGAAAAGCTTTTGCGCCAGGCCGATGACGCAACCCTTGAGTCAGCTCAAAATGTCATTGAAATCTGTCCAATTGATATCTGAAAATATAAAGAAATATTTTTAAAGAGTCTTTCTGAATCTTTTATCACACAAAAGTTTTTCAGTTTTAGGCTGCCAGCAAACGTGTTAAAGCCATGTGAATTTTCTAACGTGTTTGCGATTCTTGCAACCACAAGTGCTTCAAAATAGTTACTTGAAACATCTGAAAATTGTTAATTGTACTTGAATTCTCCATTTGTAAAATAACTGTATATATATTAAACTTTAAATGCAATTTCCTTGAAATCTATTCACTATCTTGAACTAAACGAAGAACAACTTTCCTATATTTAACAGGAATAATCTTAAGTCACATACAGTCATAGGTACAAATTTAACTTCACATGTACCACCAATCTTTTCTACCAAAAAAAAGTTCAGAGAATTTTTCGACAAATCAAGCACGCAAATATTACTACGTTTCTACGAAAATGGCTCTGCTTTGGCGAACAGTGACTATTCCATATTTTAATATAAAATCCTCAGTTACGTCGAGCTCTTGTTTTTCTCCCACAGTCCTTATTTGGAATATTTCATATCACATGATTTCTGCAACTACTACTAGCAGTGGTTTATAAGGTGTAAGTAATAGGTATGGAGAGTAAAATTGTTTTGTACACCGATTAATAACGAAATAATTATAATTAAGTTATAGTGCTCAAAATCTTAAAGAAATGTGCAGCAAATTACTCTTTTCTTTAGCTACTATTTTGCTACTCCATTTGTTCAGTCCACAACAAGCATAACAAACATACACAATAAAATTAACTTCAATATAAAAGGTTTGAAGGATTTCTCCTTGATAGGAAATATCTAAAACGTTCTATTATCCTCCTGGGGTGACTAGCTAGCTGAATCTTCAATTATTGGCCTTGAATGAACAAATCCATAGAGTCTTATAAAGTCCTCAAAAGGGAACGGGAAAATATATAGCTGGGGAATTGCTCACATCTTAAAGAAATGTGCAGCAGCTACTCTTTTGCTACCCCATTTCCTCAGGCATAACAAACATACACAATAAAATTAACTTTAATATAGGAAAGGTCTAGAACGTTCTATCATTCTCCTGGGGCGACTTGCTAACTGAATCTTCAATCGATAGTGCCTTTCAACAGGCAACATCCGTGTGTATAATTAATAAACTCAACTCCCTGAATTCTTCCACAAGACTTACGGTATCATTAGGCCTGGACACAGGCTTGAATGCACAAATCTGTAAACTCCTATAAAGTCCCCAAAAGGGAACGGGAAAAAATATAGTTTCACACTTGGTCACACTACAAGCTACGACATTCATAACATATTCTGAAAAACATTTTCTTATGAAAGTTGTACCATAAGGATGGATTTGTAAATGTTACTCTTGGGAAACGCAACTTGCTGAACAAAATCACACAACAAATAATCAGGTGGATATCGGATTTCCATCTGCGGCACGTATTGGAAAAAATAAATAAAATCTAAATGCGTGAAACGAAAGCTGGAGGCGTCTTTCTTCAAATTAAATCTCGGCTGATTAGAATTTAACCGAGTGAGGCGGTGGCTCGTTTCGCGAATCAGCGAGCCGAAAAATCATGTCGCAGGAGACGGTAACGCGTTTAAGGTAATTGGGAGGGAGATTGGGGTTCGGTTGCAGCCATAGGGATAACGCGGTTTGCAAATTTATCACATACCTGAGATTAATACAGGTTCTCCGTAACCTTACCTCTTTCGGACTAAGCGGCCCAATTAGGAATCTATCGATTCGACAAACGTTCCTTGCATTATTTTACCTGCGAAATGATCTGCTTCCTTTTGGTAGCACAATATATTTATTACGCGAGAGGTTCCTAATGAATCGGCTAAGTAATCTAAATAATTTCGTTTGATGTCGGAAGCGGAGCGAAATTACTGAGTGGTCGTTGAAGAAATCGTTACCGGTTTTACACAGTGTTTATACAGTGTGACAAAATTTACAGACAGATGCTTAGGCAAGTGCTCCAAATTATAGTGTCGTTATTGCGTTGGAAATAGGAGGTGTCACAGGGTGAGCCTCATAAGACTTCCATTGACAAAGGTGTTATTATTAATTTGAAAAGTTGGAAAAATAAATCAAGTTGTTATTATCAGAACCTCTCGGCTTCATATTTTGCCATGGTTATAATTTTTATTTTTTCTTATGGACACTGGGTCAGGTACTTTTATTACTAACCAACTAACCAAAACTCAAAACTATCGAAAAATTTGAAATATCATTTTTCCATTTAAAGCTTTTTTGATCCAGCAATTAAGATTAAATTTAATCCCAAAGGCAAAACAGACTGAACATAAGAAAACTGGAAATAAATTCTCCTCTTTGGTTGATTTCAAGAATCCTGTTCATCGCCATTTTTTTTAGGAAACCCCGCAATAAATACCATTGTTGTTTCAATAATATTAAAGAAATAGTATATTATTCCATAAGTTTCATAAGCGACGCTTCAGTTTACTTTACTTTCTGTACTGCCATTAGTTTTAGGTTACATTTTTGCAAAACAACATGCAGAATTTACAAATGTTACCGCACCAGGTTAATGAAGCTGACATCTTAAAATGACACTTTGCTCACGCTTGATCGGTGTATAATTTGATATTTTAGAATACAAAGTTTAGAAACTAGCAAAAATAATAAGAGATATTTAAAACATTAACTCCTGATTCTCACGAAAGAACTATTTTCAGGTGTTATATGAATTTTATGCAATAAAGAGCTATGTTCGTTCGCTGGTCAATATTTTGATATATAACTTGCTCATTTGTTCATGAAACTCCATCCCGATAAAACAAAATAGGTCTTACAGTTTTGGATCTATTTCATTTTCCCCCCAATGTTTCCGAAATTGTCAAAAATAAATTATTCCAATTTTTTAGCGGAATATTATTTCTCAGAATCACCGATACTGATGACAGCAGGACTTGAAAGATTAATCTTAATCTCAATCCAGTTATAGTTTCTACCTGCGATTCTACATATACGATGCTGGAAATTTGTTTGAATCTACTCTGTTTCAGAAACAATGGCTCATCCATTAGCATGTCGCAGTAGCCAAGTATGTCAAGAAATCGGAGATTGTAATGTCTATTGGACTGAATTGGATTGTTGAAAATTCCCTTTGCAAAATGGATTACTTCCTTAAGAACAAGTTTGATGCAGCCTCGTTGCACACTGAAATTTCAAAGAACACGCCAGAAGCAAGTGTAATAAAAAAATGGTTCTCTCTTACGACGACGGTCAAAATTATACAACAATGGATAGAGCTTATCGAACAATGGAATGGAGTGCTGTTACATTGGACGCCGCGAGCAAGAAGATATAAATGCTTCACTTTAACGTTATAATACCAAAACTTTCTCGTTTAGTGTATTCAGCGCACAAATCTCATTTACCAATTAATTGAACCCTAGCGATCATCGAGCTTAAGGTGACTCTGAACAAAACGGCTTAGAAGTTTGACTCTAGTTTCGATTCGCATAGTGTATTGAACGGACTAACTAACCTATTAACGAAATCTTAATCGCTTGCAGTTCGTATTTCAGGCACATAAGAGTATACACAGTTGAATTTTAAAAAGACTTACCTTTTATTTCATGGGTCGTTTCGATTAGAGCTTGGTTATATGCGTTCAAGTTGTTCTGAGAAATTTGACTATTATCCAGTAGCCGAAGGGTGACATTGAACGTCCTCGAGGGTGCGGAAAGTCCATTCAGCGTTATGAAAACCGCCGTGGTCTTGCCTGGCACAGCTATTTCCGGTGCGACGACACTGAATCCTCTGAAAATAAATTGAGCTGAAAGCTACGCTTGGCTAGCGAATTAAATGAAACATTACTTGAAACAAAAAAGCACTTAGTCTTTTTTAACTATTAAAGAACCATAATCGGCGTTGATGTTTGAACCTTCTTCAGTAATGTTCTTACAAAATACACACACACACACACACACACATATATATATATATATATATATATATATATATATATATATATATATATATATATATATATATATATATATATATATATATATATATATATATATATATATATATATATATATATATATATATATATATATATATATATATATATATATATATATATATATATATATATATATATATATATATGTATATGTATATATATATATATATATATATATATATATATATATATATATATATATATATATATATATATATATATAATTTATTTTAAAGACCAATTTTTTAATTGTTTGATGATGACTGTAGTTTAAATTTTACTATGTATTTACAATATAGTTTAAAATTTTCCAGCCCCTATCTTTATGAAATTACTCAAAATTATATTATAAAATTTTGTATACCTTGCAAATTGTGGTCTTCCAGTTACGAGATAAGAAAAAAGTGAATATAATCGCCTAGAGTGAAACGTGTTCATTGAGTACGCGAAAGTTAGCCGAAAAATATAGTGCTGGGAAAACACAAATTATCGAAATTTTGAAAAATAAAGATGAATTAAAAAGGATGGTTGAGGAAGGTGGTAACTTCGACCAATAGCGAACATTTCCAAAGTTCGAAGGATTGGCCTTGGATCAAGTCGTTTAAATTAGTTTTGCAAGACAAGAAATAAAGCTATTGCAATATCTGGGCCGCGGCTTAGACAAAAAGCAATGGAGGCAGCAAGCAGTTTGAAGATGGATCAAATGGATAGTTGGAAATTTTCTGTGGGCGACACAATTTAACTTTTAGGAAAGGAAAAAGGTTTTTCAAAGGCCGGATTCTCCTATGTTATCCAAGAAGATACAATGTTTGATACAGAAGACAGAATACCACTTGCTCACCTCTTTGCAAAAGTTTGTGACTTAATTTCGGATTTAGATAAATAATTTGCTTTTATTGAAAGTGATTTGCCCACAGAGTACTAACTTCCGTATTACGGAAATTGCAGGAACTGCGCAATAATGATGAGGATAAAAACTCTCATGATAGTGATATGGATAAATGTCAAACACCAAAACCTAGTTTATCTAGCATGACCTAAGTTTGCACAAAATAAAGGAACATACAAAATTATTTAATGAGTCATAATAAAGGTGAAATTTTTATGGATATGATTTGTGGAAAAATTTAAAGCAAACAAAGCTTAAAACATACTTTAAAAAAGCAAATTTCTTTTTTATATGAATATCTTGCAATATTTATGTGACGTATAAATAATGAACATCTGTATATCAAGTATTGTTGTAATATCTACTACCCGCTCATATGTATATTTATGTTTATATTGATTGGTAAAATTAAGAAAGAATCTCAAATAAACAATAATTGTATTTGTGGGAGGCAAAACCTGAAAATAACGGCCAATATCGCTTCATTTTTTGAAAGCCGTTATTGACAGGTTTTACTGTATAACATTTACGTATATTATTATTTTATGCAGAATATTTATGATAACTTTATAATCGGGTAAGAGACTGGATCTTATATTTTTATATTCTTTTACTTATTTAATTAAAAGGCGATTTCGTTATGTTTTACTCAGTTTTTATAAAAAAAAAGTCATTCATTTTGGCTTAAACCTACAGTTTGATGTGTATTTCCCACGCCATGCCTAACGCAAAATATGATAACTTATTACTCCTGCATCATATTCGTCATTGTTCGCCGCCTCCATTATTATTTATTACGACGCACCGAAAACATAAGCGTAATAAACAAACTAGGTCGGATGAAAAGTAGTAGGCAACAAAGGCCTATCCATCAGCAATGACAATTCAATCTTTTATAATGGCGTTCACGCAAATGGAGTAGGAACTTTATGGACCGTCCGACTGATGAACTGTCCAGCGGAAAATATTGGGAATATTTAGCATTGTACGTGTTGGAGGCAGGCGGTTATCAGTTTGGTAAAAAAAACGTCGGATATTAATCGATTGATAGAACTATAAAGTAGATATTGTAAATGCGAAAATTCTACTCTGGTTATAACACATTGTTTTTAACCTCTTATACAAGTGTGGCAGGCTGTAGAACTTATAGGTACAAATTTTTAACAAATTCAGACCAACAATTTAACCTCCCCACCTTTGATAAGTGTTAGAAACTGTAAAGTAATCTTATTAAAAGCAATAAGAATTTTCTTGTTGAAAGATTGCATTAATCTGCAGTTGTCAATTGTGTTTCCATCTTTAACATAAGCGCTGAAATTCCAAAATTAAAACAAAATTTTCAGGGGTTTCATAGATAGTGCATTTTATACATTAGTTAGTGCTTTATACTATATATTGATATTATATTTATGTTTGGACTTAGTATAGCTATTATAAGTAATGAATCTAGTTTGTGTTACGCTATAATAAATAAATAAAATGGCCTTTATTTTAAGCTCGACGAAGGTCAGCTGAACTGTTAACTTGCAAGATATGGATCAAGCAATAAAACAAAAAAGGAAAACAATAAAAAAACAATATTAAATAAAGAGAATTGATTAATAATCTAGGTAGTTGCCCGTATGAGATATTTTTTTAAATGAAATTTAAAAGCGCAATGAAAGACATTCTGTGATTAGTAGTAGTCTAACAGACGTATACGAGAAGCAGCTTTCAGTCATGGACTTCTTAATTTTAGGTATTTCATACTGACAATTGAAGCGGGTTTCACAGAAATGAATGCGATTTCTGCAAGCCAGTTTTTCCAGCAACTATGAGGGACATCCAGTTTTGAGTAGTTTGTAAAGAAAACAAGAAAAATGTATTTCTTCTCGCCTCAATATGTTTAACCATTTTAAGTTGGGAAGTTTATAACTTAATCGAATATAGGTATTCTGTACAAAATATATTAATGCGAACCTATTCGGATTCGATTTCAAGCCATAATCATTTGAGTATTTAAAGACCGATTCCAAGCATTTATTTAGTCTCCTTGCCACTTCTACTGCATCAGACCGGGAAAAACAAATATGTATTTGCGTGTCATCAGTATACCTGTCACTATTGAACCCGCCAAAGCAACCCGACCTATCTGCTGTATAAATAATGAAGAATAGACGTCCTAATAATGTGTCTTGAAGGATCCCCCTGTCAACTTCTAAGGCTTTCGATCTAATGTTGTCAATCGAAACTAGCTGATATCTGTGACCCAGATAATTACGTATCAATAAGACCAAAGCCGATGTTTCCCCTTTATCTGCTGCTGAGAGAATATATCATTCAAAACTTTGAGCAAAGCCGTAGTCGTACTGTACCCTTTGCGAAATCCTGAATGAAATTTAGGTAAAAGGATGTTATTGGTGAAATAACCACAGATCTGCCTATAAATCAGTTTTTCAAATACTTTAGAAAGCACTGGCAACAGACTAATAGGTCGAAGATCTGCGACGTTGGTAGGCTTGCTCATTTTTGGTAACGATATAACCTCGGCTATCTTCCACTGCACAAGAAATATACAGTTTTCAATACAAAGATTAAAAAGTTGAGTAATAATAGGCCGTATAGTTGGACAGCAAAGTTTTAGCATTTCTAGTGTAATTCCATCCGTGCCTTGCGATATACATTTTGTACTAAGATATCTGGCAATGGTATCAAAGCCAACAGTATTAGGAATCTGACGCACTGAATCAACAAAATATTGATTAATGAGCTCAGATGTTTAGAAATATCGACGTCCTTCTTTTATCTGTTGTAGATGTTCAGATGGTCTATTAGTCTTCCAAATCTCTTTTGACGTTTTTCTAATAGCGCGAGGTGGCTGTTAGTGACTAGATAATTAAATCTATAGAACCGCTAAAGCATTATCTAACTAATCCGTAGAATAGCTAGGATAACCCCTGAAGTTAGGAAATTTAGATTTTATATAGAAGTTTTCGTACCGTTAAATTTCAAAAGCTGGTTTTACTAATTTCGATTTTCTCTCCTGCCACCTTTAGTTTTGTTTCGCTAATTTTCAGGAGTCGCAGGATGTTACTCTTCCTCATAATATGCATTTGATGCTTAGGCTAGCTTAGAATTAACGGAAACTCGCCAAAACTATCCCTTACTGTAGCACAGAGTTGAATTGTTTCATTAAAGTAAATTGTTCTTTATATAATAATAAAAACAAAATTATGATCATCATGTCCTTTCTGCTCGTTTGTATGGCGTATGGATATTAACAAAGGAAACTACCAAGCCTTTGAACTTTCGCAATACAGGAGGAGCTTGAAGATATCATGGATCTACAAAATTACAAACATCGAAATCCTACGAAGAATAAACAATACCAAAGGATTTCTCAATATTGTCAAATGCAGAAAATTGCAACATCTGGGCCTTATCTTGCTAAAGGCAACTCGTTACGGACTCCTACAACGGATTCTGCGAGGAAAAATTGACAAGAAGAATCGAGCAGTAGAAGAATGTCCTCCTGGCTTGCTAATGTATTAACTAGGCTTGCTAAGAGTACGACTCAGTTGCCCACACAGCAGTGGACAAAATGAACAGGCACTCAAGTCTATAATATTTTCTCATATTTTCACATTTACGAGTAAGGCAGATAATCTAGGGTAATTTGACCCATGGAACAATGTTCCCCAATTTTAACGGACAATCCCATTCTACAAGTCAGATATATCCAGATTCACTGTTAATTGAAAAAAAAAATAGCACCGGTTCAAATAAATTTAACTAAACCCTAGTAAATATTTTAAATGACCGTAAAAGCGGCAGATCTACATAACGTAACGGTCAATTTATCAACGTTAAATGTTGTTTTAAAAGCAGTATGTAAATTAAAATTAATATTTATTTATTATTTAA